GATGTGATAATAATATTCAATGCATGATCAAATGGTAAACTTATAAATAATAAATTAGTTTAGAAATCGGGCCTAAAGTTTTTTTTTGGGGGGGGGGCGGGACACTTTGAAATCCATAGTCTATCCATCAATCCTCAGGCCTATAGTTTATCTATATAGTAATAATTTTACAAGTACATGATGAAAGGTTATTATGTAACTGCAAATTGAACATTTATTTTTCTTTACATTATTTACATTGTACTGACTGTTGTCGTCATCTTCGTTCTTTCATTGTTTGAATCTAGTGACTTGACTCAAAGAGTTGCGTATTCAATACCTTGCTAGAGCAGAAGTGAACAAAAAACGTGGAGAGTTGAGGTAAAGGAAGATAACTAATACCGAGAAATCTGCAAGAGGAATGGCACATGGAATTAGAACGATCTACCCCAGTTGACGAAATAAAAGGTTCAGTTCGAGATTCCAATCAGCTAAAGAAGGCGGAAGCATACAACGGTCGAAAACTCGTGAATATGGCAACGAGGATGAGGACAAAAGTCCGAATAATGTATATAGTGTAAATTCTTTTTTAGTTTAATTTCTTCTGTCGTTTTATTATTATTATTATTATTATTATTAAAAACGCAATCACAAAAATAAACAAAAATGATATGATAAAAAGCTGAGTGTGTATGTGAAAGTTTCATGTTACTACGATCAGAAGTGGTGAGTAGACATTTGTGGAACAAAGTTAATGTGTATAGATGCGGAGGTAACATTTTGAATGATTTAATATGCCAACCCGAAAAGGATTTTGAAACAAATATAATTATGACACGTTATTAAAAAAAAAAAAAAAAAAATTTCTTTTTTGTTTGCAATGTCCCCTGATGTCCGTAGTAGATCATGGCTTTCCACAAATTCATATTCCGTGTAGCTCTTAATAAACATTGTTTTTGTGTTATTTCTCCTATGACTTGTACGGTCACCCATTTACCCAAGCTTATTAAGTATGTCATGATTTGCTTTCCATTTCCTCTCTTGCATTCTACCTGTCCCTTGAGTATCAAATATCCCAGTGGGTGTCAATACCGCGCAACCTGATGCAAGATGGTTAATTGTTTCTGGATATTTATCAGAGAATCTGCATTTTGGTCTAACATAGTGTTTCAGTAATTCGTAATTTGTAGTTAGCAAGCTTGAGTATCAAATATTCCATGCCTAAATTCCTCATTATCTGCCCCTAAAACCTCAACTCTCTCTTCCTGATGTTAAGTATTAGTTTCCTTTTCGCTTCCATATTTTACATGGTATACTCAGCAATTTTCTGTAGACTTGAAGCAAGAGAAAGTCTCCTCTTCATCTTTGAGGAGGTTGTCCAGTAGTGACTACCATACAGAAGGACAGTTATCACATAGTAGTTTAGTACTTGTTGGGGATGTGCAGAATTAATTAATTGTAATTGAGTGAATCAGAAGGAATTTGTGTAGGTTGCGTGACATTTTGCATCCACAAACAAATAAATAAACGAATTTTAAATACAATCAAAAACAAGACATATCATATTTAGAAACCAATAAAACAATTTATATACAATTAAAAGTAATATATATATACAGGATATTTTGCTATATGTTACTATGGCAAAGTGTGTGTGATATTTGAGGTTTCGGTATGTCTCTTTTTGTATTTGTATGTTCAGTTACAGTCTTTCTGGAATTGTGTTAATTAATATTAAAAATGTCGATGTTAAGTGGAATGACTTCTTATAGAGTGGTCTACCTTTGAATCGTTCGAATGTTGATTTTTACTTAATAATGTAGTGAGTATAGTTCACTTTGGATAAGCAAAGTTGTTTTAGGTTTGCGATTTGATGTCCACAGAGTTGGTCGAGATTAAATTGCAAGTCATGTACTTTTCGGCGGTAAAGTCGTGATTTCGAGTAACGTGGAGTATGTTGACAATTTCTCTGTGGATATTCGTCTTTGACCCGGTGTTTTCTTTTATATGTTTTTGAAAGTCCAAAATCGGTTCAAAGATGTTTTGGCGCAATTTTGTTTTGCACGTGAAACTTTCAGATTATTGTGTCGTTCACCAATGAGATTTGTTGATTCGCCTAGTACGGTTTTTTATTGGTCGAAGTTTTCCGTACGTAGGCGTAAGGTATAGACTGTTCTGTTATTAGGGGTGATAGGTAGAAAAGGACGAGTCTACATACTCTTTTTTTTTCTCTGTAGGAATTTTTTTATTTCTTAATAAACTGCTTAGTTTTTGGTATGATTCCTTAGGTATCCCCATATTCCTTCCGATTTTAGGGTCGTTCTCTGTTAAAGCACTTCCCATGTATTTAAATTCCCACACTTTTTGATTTCGGTATCTCTGATTTGCAGCTCACACGTTGGGGCTTATCTTTTTGCTAATAACCATGCATTATGTCTTCTTGCCGATGACGTTTAATCCTTTCTTCTCGTTTTCCTAAATTATATTCTGTAGGATTTTTGTAGCTTTCTTTCTGTGTCTGCTATCAAAAGTGTATCATCTGCATACATTATGTCGTTAAGATCGTAACCGCCAACAATGTATACTACTCAAGCAGATAGACTTCCCAAAGACTAGAGGGAGTAGTACATTATAGACTATGAAAGGGAGACAAACTATTGGCGAATCAAAAATATGGATACTCCCCACCGCTTCCTACGCAATTTTGTAGAATCGACAACGTACTGCTCAATCCAAGCGATTTATGAAGAAGCGATTTTAAGTTTCTTAACAAGAATGGGGATTATGTTGAATAACAAACAATTATTGTGAAAATATTTTATTAGGTTTATATATGTGTGCATGTGTATGTGTTTTATAGGAGAGAGGGGGAGAGAGAGGAGAGAGGGAACGGGAGAGAGAGAGAGTAAGGATGAGCAAGTATGTGTTTTTTTCTCAACCTGTCGGTCACGTTTTGATGCTTATGTAACACATAAATTTGATTTTCAATGCTTTTCTTCCAAGATAAAATAAAATGCAGTGTATTATAAATAAACAGTTGACAAGATACGGAATGTTTTAATTACAGAAATATGTATTTGTAATATTATAGGAATCTGACCTTTGCAGCGAAATTTCTAAATTCAATACAATTTGTAATTTAATTAAAATGGAAAAAAAATATTGAATTCTTTTATTAGTGATGTTTACAGTTATAATATTTATATATGTCACGCGATAAGTATTATTTAGATATGATAGCAAAAGAGGAAATCAAATCGATAAAATGCGTATCGATATTAACCCATTCATGAATCCCGTAAAACATGATATTAATTGTAAAATTTTAGATGATAAAATGCTATTAATTATAGGATTTTAAAAATCAAGTATTAATTATAAGTTTAAAAAGTATAAGCGATTATATATATATATATATATATATATATATCAGTAAATTGGATGAGAATATGTAAAATTTTTACTTGTAACGCGTTTGTTCTTACAGGAATTCATCGACTAAATTTGTTATGTTTATATGGCTACACATGCCCATGGGAACGAACTAGGTATGCTGGGGATTTTAGAATTATTATTTTAGAATATATATATATATATATATATATATATATATATATATATATATATATATTAAATATATGTATATTAATAATAAAATAAGATACTGGAAAAGATTCAGTTTGACCGTTTAAATGGCATCACCTTCGAGGACTTGAAATTAGTTCCATCAAACATGAGAACGTCATAAATAATCAAAACAACTAGCGTAAATATTCTTAGAAATACTTGAAATCAAATTTGCTATTATTCAAAAGGACCCATAATGTATATAGGGGCGCATG